AAAAAAAAAAAAAAAAAAAAAAAAAAAAAAAAAAAAACGGTGGGACACGCTTTTCTGGGCGATGCTTACTGCACGAGCAATGTTTATGTGTAATGGCTACCCTGCCGTAGGGAAACTAAATGGTAAATATAACAGCACAGTATAAGAATGCGCAAATATTATAGAGAAGAAATTCCTGTACACACACGCGCGCATGTTTTTGTTTTGATACACTTAATATACACATTTGGACCCAAAAAAAAACGAAGGAAGCAAAAATAACACTCGAGTTACACCTACGCTGAAGTGGAGAATAGTCTTATGTGACCTATATAACACCAGATGGTACTTACGGAAAATTACAAAGAAGGCATTTTCGAACACAAAAATGACGGGGCAATTTTAAAATAACATTTTCTGTTTGCGTTTACTGCATTTTTCCCTTGGTGATAATAGCCAAGCAGGGAATGGACGAATAATAATTTCGTTTTTTGCTACTATTTTCCTTATTTTGGAGTTACAAAAAAGAAAAAAAAAAAAAAAAAAGGACACTCACAAAATAGATGAATGTGTCATTAAATAAATATGTGTGCATGTATACACGTATGCACGTTTTTACACAAACATGAATGTGTACTTGTACATGCGACGCATGTATTGCCAGAGTACTCACTCCGCTTTGTAAGCATTGTCGAGGAGTGCCAATAAAGAGAATGGCTTCAATTCAAACGCTCAGGATACGCACCATAGGATATTAGAAGAAAATATACGAAAGCATTGCCAAATGCTGCCAAGCCTAGCCTGACTTTTTTTTCTCCTCCCATGTGCAATTTTGTTTACCTCCTTATAATTTGTTCAAAGTGTACATTGCGCGAATTGCATGAATTACGCGTTGTAGTCATCTCCAGCAATATTAATTTCTCCCCTTCGGTAGAGAAATTGTGGTTCTTCCCCTCTTGCGCCCTTAAAATAAGAGCTTCGACTTCCTAGACATAACGCTGTTTCGGTAATGGCTTCAGCATACTTGCACATACATGTGTTTGTGTGTGAGTGCCACACTACGACCAGCCTTCCTCAATGTAGCCACTTTTCCCACAAGTTATGTCTTTGCCCTTATCTTCGTTCATGGCCACTTCGGGTGTAAATTGGTATTCCATGTTATTCGGGTTGTCCTTTTCCCCGGATACGTAATTCTGTGCATGTCTGTAAATATACATGGACACAAGAATTACAACTGCACCAGCGAAGACAGTTATGCTTCCGTACTTGAATGCATTGCTGTTATGTGCTTTGCTTTCGCTGCGTCCACCTTGACTCGCGTTTCCGTCTGCATCTTCGTTCCCACTTCCGTTCTCACGTGCGTTATCATTTCCGTCCCCGTTTTTGCCCCCCTCGGTGACCTCCTTTCTCGCCTTCTCATCCTCATTCAACGTGTTCGTTACTTCCGTCTGAATCTGCTCTTGCAGGAGTTCACTAACCCTCTTGGACATATTTTGGGGAAAGGGAGTTTTGGTATCATCTGAATCTATGATAAAATTATTCTGACCAACAATAAGATATTTGTCATTTTCTAATTGCCCGTTGGAATTTTTTTTATAAAATATCTTATGGACAGTCTTCATATCTGAGTAGTACTTGTATGGGTGTTCATTTTTTCCCCCTTCCACTTGTTTGGTACTGTCTACCAAATCTTCAAGAACGTCTAATTTTTCCTTAACATACTCTTCGTTTTCACTATTCATTTTTTTACTATCATATGTATTTACTACATTATCAATTATTTCGTTTATATTTTTTACGTCAGCTTTTTCTTTCCCTGATTCAATTATGTTTGATTCTTCTTCTGGCAATACGCTCGTTTTATGTTGTGCAATTATGGAATCTATGTCTACGTTTGTTCTACTCGCAGCTTCACCAGTTGGTTCGTTTTTGCTATGTGTTGTGGATTTCTCATATAACTCTTTCTTCATCTCTCCATCTTTTTCTTTAGTCACTTCAGTTTTTTCATATGGTGATATGCTTGCCTTTTCCTCATCATTAATTCTATAATCTAAATTTTGTTTATGCTTGTCTTCCACTTTTTGTTCATTTTCATCTTTTCGATCTAAGTTGTTTACTTCTTCATGTTCTTTTGGAGTCACTTGCCCCTTTTCATTATGTGCAGATTGTGTACTAGCACCTGCCACCTCTTCTTTCTTTGCCTCTCCTCCCACTGTCTCATCAATGGGGTTCCTGCTATCCTCATGCAGCTTCTGGTTTATGTCAGAACTTTTCCCTTCCTCAGTTGTTTTGCTCTCATGTGATACATCGATATGTTTATTCTTTATGGTTTCACCTTCTTCCGTGCTGCCCTGTATGTGTTTACTTTTGACACCGTCATCTTCAGCTCCTTCGTCCTGCTCGTCCACGTCTATACCTTCGCCCGTTTCCCTACTTTCTATAATGCCGTCATGTTTACCTGTCGTTTCAGTTGCGTGTGCACTTTCACCAGTGATTTCAAGTTCACCCTCATCTTCACTTTGAACTACATTAATGTTTTCACCAATGTCTTTATGTTCTCCCACATCGTTACGTTCACCTTCGTCCACGATTTCCTGTTTACCTTCATCTTTAACACCAACTATATCTATATGGTCTCCCTTAATTTCAGCTATTTCCTTCCTTTCGTGGTTGGCTTTGTGTTCTCCTGCATCTGTGGATTCACCTACTTCATCCATGTTGTTACCGCCCCTCTTACTTCCATCCATATCTTTCGGCTCGCCTATTTCTGTATGCGCACCCGTATCTGTGTCTTGAACCACATTTATACTTTCATCTACGGCTGCATTCTTACCTTTATCCTCAGTCTTATGTTCATCTGTAATGTCATCGACCAATTCACGTTCACGAGCACCTTCCCCTTCAACTACGTCTCCCGCCTTTACTCCATCTGAATGCCCGCCCACAATTCCATTCTGTACATGATGGCTTGTCACCTCATCGCCTGCTATTATGTGTGTTGGACCAAATTCACCGGTTAACTCCTTTATGCCCTCTGTGTCATCGTCCAAATTGTAACTTTTGTGTGAGTGGTCTAATACTTTTCTACCGAGACTTATTTGATCCTGTGCGTCTTGTCCCTTAACAGCTTCTTCCTCTACGTGCTGTATTTCATGTACTTGCTGTTGCGTGTGGACACGACCTGCCTCCAATTCCTCCGTTACATGTTCGCTGGATGTTCTACCTTCTTCCTCAATTTCTTCTTTTGCTTGATTGTGTGTCGAGTGATTACCAGATAAGGCTGCTCCTTGAATATGTCCCCCCGCTGTTTGTTCTTCTGGTTCACTTTCGCTTGATAGTTCATCTACCTTCTCACCATTATTTGCCTCCGCATGATCTCCAAAGTTATGACTTATTAAGCTGTTTTCTCTCAACGTTTCTTCTAATTCTTCGACATCATTCATATTACTATCTTGCACAATGTTTTCTGCATCGTTCATGTCTGTTTCTGCTGCATGCTCCTTTATGCTTTTATAGTATGCTTTATGTTCATTGACGTCTTCCTCGTGTACTTTTCCTTTGTTCGTATCATCACCTGATATTCTTTCTCCTCCTGTAGATTCAACTGACATTGTGTGACTGTCCCCATTATTTTCAATAACTAAATGTTCCTTGCCTGTTTCAACACGCATAAAATGTTTCCCTTCATGTCCTTCTTCCAGACTTCTGCGCTCGCTAATAGATTTACTTGATGCGTGAATCGTTTCTTCCTTTTGCTTGTCATCCGTTTGATCTTCCGCTGTAACGACATGATTCTCGGATACGTTGGTAGAATTTGCATCTTCTGCTTCCCTGTTTTTTTGCTCACTTTCGCGTTCTCTTTTGTCTTTTCCTTGAAATTGGTGTTCACTTTTTCCTTCGTTGTGCAACTGATCTGCGCTTATTCGTTCTCCTTGTAACATATACCCATCCGTTCTATGACTCTCTGTGCGATATTCCTCAGCTTTTGTTTCATCTGGAATGGCTGATGGAACCAAATGGTTACTCTCTTCAGATTTTTCGTTCATTTCGCGCACGGTATGGGATTGCACATTTGTGTCTATGCCTTCATCTGTATCATGTGTTTGTTTATTATGTCCACTAACCCGCTCATAATTCTCACCATGCATTTCTGTTGTATGCTCAGTTGATTTTTTCTTCTCATTTTCCACTTCAGGGAGTTCAAACTGTTTTCTGGAACCATCCGGAACTTGGTTCATAATTAGAAAGTCTCGTAGTAAACTGTCATGGTCTGTACCTATATGTTCTTCTCCATGTCTATGTGCCAATTGGCTATTTAAGCCTAACTCTTTAGTATGCTTATATTTTGACTCTCCGTCTACCAACTCCTGACCTTGTATATTTCCTTCTTGTCCACCATATCTCACATTATCATCTCCCTTTCCTTTTTCCTGCTCTGTAGTTACTCCCGTTCGTGCTGCTACTTCATTAGTGCGTGTAGTTTCATCGGTGTTATTCCCGATTTGATTCGCTTCTTCGTTGGCGATTTGTTCTACCTTAGCCTCGTCTTCAACAGGACCATGTTGAGTTATTTCTTTCTGTGCACTTTCCCTTGGTACGTCTGTGCGATCAGTCTCTGCTTCTGCGACCCCTTTGTTCATTTGAGTTATTTTATCTTGTCCACCTTGACCTTCAAAACTGTTTTTGTTTTCCCTTTCAGGTGGAGCAGTCTCCTCATACAATTCTTGCTCATGTTTATCAGTCAATTCATCCCTAGCACCATGCGTGCTTTTATAAACAGGTGAATTATTATGATAAGCTGCAGATTGTCCTCGCGATGCGTCTGCTATAATGTCACTATTTATTGCATCACCAACGTGCTTAGATGTGACATAATCATTTGAATTTACCTGGTGATCTTTACTACCACCAATTTGAGATTTTGTGTTGTCATTCTCTTCTGGGAATATCCGTTGATTATTTGAAGATTCTCCACCTTCCACATTAGGCAAATAGCTCCCATTTGACAAACTGGGTGAACTAATTTCTACAGATTCATCCTTTGTCACAATATCCATCGTATGAACCTTTGTGATTTCGTCTGGTTTGTCAAGATGGTTGTCTTTGATAATTTCTTGCTCCATTTTCTCTTCCTCTTGTTCTTCTGCATCAGGTATATTCTTCGCTTCCTCATGATTGAGCCTAATTTCCTGGTTATTGCGCTCTTTATCATTTTCGTCATCCTCTTTTGTATCCCCCATTTCTTCACCTTCCGCCACCTTATCCCCATCGGTTTTACCTGCAGTACCCGAGTTTGCCATCTCGACATTTGTGCTTTCGTCTTGGTGTTTTCGAACTGCTTTACCAACGGTGCCCACATTTGCAGTTTCGACGATATTACTCCCGCTTTGATCCTCTCCATTTTCCTTATTATCGGTACCCCCGTCTACATTTGAAGCATCAAAACTTGCGTGAATTTTGCCATCTACCTTCCTATCTTGCGTATTCTTAGTAGGTCTCTTCACAGTGATAAAGTTTCCTAAATTGTCGATGACCTTTACCTGATCGCCCTTGTCAATATGCTGAAGGAGAAGCTTGTGATTTTTAATAAGAAGGTGCTGTCTTTGTATCATCGAGTCAGTTTTTTTTTTTAGTTGAGCGCTTGCTTCTTTCAACATTCGTGGCTGAGCACCCTCTTCGCCAATTTCACCTGTGTACGGTTTGTTCATTTTTTTGCGTTCTATAATTTCGTCTTTACGCAGATCATCTGCATACTTATTGAGCATTCCTAATAATTCTCTATAAGTTTTATGGTGATTTTTTTCTCTTTGCTGAGGTGAGCAAATTGGCAAATCATTACATGGTACATATTGTTCTAAGATTTCGTAGGTTACAACGTTTGGTTTGAACATATATCCTTCATCACAGATACCTCTACATTTATATATTTCGTTATCACATTCGCTTCTGTAATCTTCTCTAATGATTAATTCGTAGTTGAAAAGGCTTCTACAATGAGCAGTGTAGTAATCCTCATTAATTATATAAGTATCAAGAGTAACTTTTTTTGGAATGGTTCTCTGTCTTTTCCTAAATTCACAAGGCCCGCTCCAATCAGACCAATCGTTATACCTGGCACAAGTTGCACCATATTCCAAAGCATAGCAAAATCTCTTTACACTGATTCTAGCGTGACTATCAATTTCGTTAGTAAAGAAATATGCTAAAGGGATGTGAGAAGATTTATGATTACTCATTTCAGAGATGAGAAAGGTGAGTTTTTTGGATTTCTCAGAACTGTCTGAGAAAAAAAAAATTCCTAAATTTTTACTTCTAATGTCTCTTATATAATTTATGAATTCATCAGAATATTCTGAAGGTTCCATTTCTCCAAAAAATTTACAAATAATTATAACATTTTTGGCGTAATGCATTTTGGGGTTATTTAATATATACTTTTCGTAATACTCTTTCAACGAACCAAATACATTTGAATGCCCATGTTTTGTAATTGAATATTGTTTGTGATCCTTCTGAAAAGTGCTTAATGTTTCCATCATGTCAAATCCATATTGCATTCGTCTCATATCTGTATACAAAATTTTATCATCAAAGAAGGAATACGCAAAATAATTCCAACTATTCTCTAGAGAAAACGCCATGCTTGCAATTCTTCGACCTAACAAATAGGAAAACCTGTTATAATACCTCGTTTCTGCACTTATCAGGACGTGAATGTTCATATCGATGCAGTAGTCTTCAAATAAATAACTGTCTTCTCCTGAATTAGCCACATGGGAAAAAGAAGGGGTGGGGCAGTTTCAAATGTGGGTTATACACTAGTGGTACAGAAAGCATTTATCCCCACTCAAGATGCACAGAAAAAAAAAAAAATCTCGCCTATGTATTTCTTATAAGCGGTGTGTGAGGTGCATATTCATGGTATATTAGAAAGTATACTTGCTCACACATAGGAAAGCATTTTCAAAAATGATGGTGAAGTTTCAGTTGCAAAAATAATGCACGTAGACAACTGTGTGTAGTGTCTTTATGAGCAACCACGTGAGGCTCAGCGTTTAATTTTATGGCGAAAATGGTATATTTTGAATCTTCTGATGCGGCATGTTGCTAGAGGAGCGGCAAAAGCGTTCACCCCAAAATATTTATAGACTCATATGTACAACACATGCTTGCATACATGCGCACATGGGGGCAAGTCTTTTTTTTTTTTTCCTTACCTAAATACTTTTCACTAAAACTTTTGCCAAATGCCAGGGGCAAAAGGCTAAAGGTACTTAACAGCATTAACAAGTTCATTTTTATGGTAAAAAACAAAAAGTGAACGTAGTAATGGATACAGGGACAACTTTTTTTTTCTTCTTCTTTGTGAGAAAGATTGCCAGGTACTTTGGTCTGTAAGCACGTTTAGCTTTATACAAGCCGTGAATGTGAATCTTCTGTTCTTATTTGAGCCACAACATGTTTAAGCGCAACGGTTGTGCTCCTCCCGTGGTTCTTAGTACAAGGACGCAGGCGTGTACACATGCATATAATAAACAAGTATATAAATATGTACATATATATATTCTTATGCTTATGTCTATGCTTTTTTGTCCTCTTCTTTTCTTTCTTTTTCCATTATTTTCTTCCTTTTCACAAGTGGACAACCTCATTTAAAATCATAACTTGTGCCACAAGCTAAACATTTGTGTGCGTATAAACATATACAAAGCGGACCATACACTTCTAGCGTACATCTACAAAACATAAGCAACTTTATGTCCACCGACATGCAAACGGAATGCAGATAGAGCAGTTAGCTAGTTAGTACATAAAAGAAATTATTTACACAGGAAGAAGCATATAAAAAATTTTTTTTCCATCATTCCCATTTTTGCATAAGAGGATATATTGCTGTGTGTAGAAAGGGCAGAAGACCAAGTAGGCAATCAATGCATGTCTTATTGCCTAGGAAAAGAATGCTTAAAGATTAAGCTGTTCTGTAGGACATTTTTAGTAGAATTTGCAATTTATATGAAAGAGTGATGTTGCATTATGACCAGGAAATTCGTGGAAAATGCAGCGAGGGATGAAAAATATATCATGAAGAAGGGAACACAAGTGGCGCGTCAACCCATTTGACTTTTTGAAGCACACTTTTGCTTCATCTACACGTTTGAGTTGTAAGTGTCTTTTCTTTCTGTTCGTGTAAGATTCCCACCAGTCGCCTGCTTCTTGCAGTACAGAAAGTATCCACCTTTTAGTCACCTGATGGAATGGCTATAAAATTTCCAAAGTCCAATTTGTGTTTGCGTTCTAGTACAAGTGTGCGCAAATTAGCAGAAGAAAAAATGGGAGGCCATTACCCTTATCGATTATTGATTCCTGGCAGGATTAACAACATCGTTGCAAAAGGGGCATCGTCCATGTACCACTTCGTGTCAATTTTTTAAGCAAAATTTTGTTAAAATTAAGGTGTTTGTACTTTTTTTTTTTTTTTTTTTTTGCTATCCTTACAAGACATTATTTAGAACCAAGCCAGATTGATTCTTTCATTTACCCCTTACATGTTCGCCATGTTGTCATTACATAAGGCAAAGGAAAATGTACACACATACGAAAGGTATCACTCGTGGGAAGGTTATTATTTCTAATCTTTGCGGTTTATCTAGATGCTTTATACGTGTCTTCATTAAGCCTGTAAATTTGTTTACGGTTGAAAAAATGAAGAACAGATGGATCTATTTGTGCACAGAAACTTTTCCTTTCGTTAAATCCGGAGGGACACGCCTCGTCGCTCGAGCGAATAAATACTCGCATACGTATATATATGCATATGTGTATATTGACTCATTTTAATATACTCTTCTTTTATTTTCGTAGCTATCTACATTAAACTTATGACATACCCTTTACGCGTGATTTAAAAAAATATATTTTTCGCGCAACCTCGTCTGTAAAAGTTGCTGGTACTACAAAAACCAGAGAACACTTGGGCTCATCAATCTATTTCCTTTTGTCTTTAATTTGCTTTAAAATAGAAGCCTCCGCAGGCTTCATTATTGACCTTTTGTAAATAATTTAAAAAATGTTGGGTAACAGTTGTGTAAACATATTTTGGGAAAGAATGCGGTAAAATTGAACACCCCTGTTAGAAGCACAAAACCAGGGTTGCACACATTACCCTACTTGCCATTATTCATCGAAAAAATGAATGCACAAAAAACGGCGGCTACGTCGAAAAAAAGGAAGTTCTCCAAAATTGCAATTTTTCGATGCTCACATAATGGAAAACATGTTATGTTAGTCTGACTCGAAATGGCTAGTGTTTAGCTGTCCACCGACATGGGCGGAAACTGCAGTTGGGTGAGCGTGCAAAGCCTACTTATGTGTGTGTATATTTAAAGCTTGGTGTTGTGAACAATTGTAGTAGAATGCGCACACTCGTTGCTGCCCTTATCATTCCTGTGTGTCCACATTGTACACATAATATTTTCGTTTCTTTATGTAGCTGCCCATTCGACAAACTTTTTTGCGTTATGAAAAAACTTTATAGGAGGGAAAGAAGCCTCAGGATGCGTGGTCCGTGAGAATATATATAAAGAAACGCAGTGGCGAAGTGGTAGAAACAAAAAAACTCCCTTCCATTTTAAGCATTTGTATGCGATACATGTGTGCATTTCTGCATATTTTTTAATTATCACATTTTTAAAACAAGAAAGAAAAGAAAAAACTAAGCATTTTGGGGTCGCTGAACCATTAACGGTGAAGAATTGTTGCAACTTTTGTTTTTTTTTCTCTCCCTTTGCTCCACACTTTAGAAGTTCCGTATGTATTTCACAGAACGCAACATATGTGTATGAGGGAATGGATTTAACCACGTAGGAGTTCAACACACCCCTTTTTTTTTTTTTTTTTTTTTTTTTTAAAAAGAATTGTTTGGGCTTTATTTTGTATACTAGAGAAAAGGTTACGCTTGCTTATTGGGTGCATGTGGGCCTGATGATGCGACATCGGTAACATGGTTCAGTAGCATTATATTAATATACACGGGCAAATCGCCTTGCGCTTCCTTTTGTATTCCTCCTTTGCGCATCCATCTGTATATCTTCTCAAAAGTTTCAATGGTATTATGTAATTCCGTTCAGTTTTCTCCAAAATTAGAGCCCAATTGATGAAAGCCAGGTGTTCCAATTTCATCATGATCGTCACCAACGGGCATCGTATAGCAGTGTGCTGTTAACCATTCCGCAATGCTCTGCCCCTTTTTTTGATGTAAAAAATATTAACCTTATTTGACACAGTTGTGCAACTTTTGTCATCGAATGTGTAAGTGGAAGAAAAGAAAAGATATAAGAAAAACATATAATAATAAATAGGAAATAAGAAAAACCGAGTAAGAAATAAGGTGTAACAAATAACATATAACAAATAACGTACAACAAATAATATAGCATAATTGGAAAATGCATGGACGGAAAAGCAGCAACTCGAAGGAAGATAAAGCCAAGCTAGAAAAGGTCAAAGAATTAGTTCACCTTGGGAACAATTTGATAAAAAAGAAGAATGAAAAAACCTATGATAAAAAATACATCGAGTCCACATCCGTTATTTTGAGGAAGTGTCCTTATCTAGAGACTTTGTGGAATTTCAGGAAGGAATATTTTGAGTTTGTGCAAAATGTCGGCACACCAGTTGGCGACGTGGGGAAAGGTTAGAAAAGGCGCATACGAAAGCGCAGCACATATGTAACGGCACTCCTTGTGCAGTATACATGTTACACGTTGTAAGAGAGGGAAAGACAAACGTGCGAGGGGAGGAATTCCCAATCCGAGGGTTCACACGAGTGTGTGCGCGGCATCGTCAATTAAGAAAGGCGGGTTGAATCTTTTCACCACTGTAAACACACATGTTTTTTAGCATGTCGTATGAACCTAGTTATTCATACTAAGGAAAAAATACATTACCAAACGCTGCTCTTTGTGGGCATTTTTACCTTTTTTTTTTTTTTTTGTAGGCGACGAAGAAGCGGATTGCGCAAAGCACCCCCCCTCTGAGGATCTAAAAACTTTGATGAAAAATGAGAACACAATGGTTGAAGAAATTGTGAGCAAATTTAACAAGTGCAACGAATTATGGTTTCACAAATTGTGGATAATAAAGTTTTGTCTAAAGAATGATCTAATGGATTTCTCTGACCTGATGAATGAGTTAGAATTTTGCAAAAGCGCCTTGTACAGAGATGACAGGAACTACCACTGTTGGAATTATCGATCCTACATCATCGCATGTGTGCATATATATTTGAAGAGTGGGAAGCATGGGAAGGCTCAGAACGGGGAAGCTCAAATTGCGAAAGGCAGTAGTGACGAACGTGATCCAGCCTCTACACAACATGGCAACCAATTTGATGTTCATAAGTCCAATTACGAGCTTTCGAAAACATTGATTGAAAGAAATTTTTCCAATTTCTCCGCCTGGTTTCTGAAATACACGATACATGAATCCCTAATTTCCACCGAGAACGAGTTAGACTTGATAAAAAATGCAATTTTCACGGATCCGTTTGATCAAAGTTTGTGGGAATTTTATAGATGGTTTCTTTTTCAAAAGGGTAATGACAAGGAGGAAATATTTTTCACTTTATTGCAAAATAATTGCGTTTATTTTTTTTTCCAAAATTTGGTTATGGCTAATCTATCAAAATCAAAGTGCTATGATGAGAATGGAAAGGAAATAACTGGAGAGTGGGGTCAACATTTCGTACCTCCCAACAACCCGCAAGACAGTTTCGAATCCTACGTATATTTTTTTAAAATCACCGATAAGCATATCCTTTTGAGTGATCAACCTACTTGTTTAAAATTTTGTATATTTTATTATAAGTATAATCTTTACGAACCAGAGGAGGTTCATTACGAGAAAAATGTCTTGAGCGATCTGATGGTGTGCCATGACTTTTTAAGAGAAGAAAACAAGTATGAGCACAACATCGTGTATCTGATCGATTTCCGGAAGTTTTCCCAAAACGAACATTTCAAAATATTATTAGATTATGATACACTGAGTAGAGGAGACGCTAAGATGGACTCCAAGTCTAGTTGCCTTAACACATTCACTCCGTTATATAAATATATCAATCGCTCCAACATATTGTTGAATACAGCCAAGCACATAAATTTCGCTTCATTAAATTTAGAGCTTGAGAATATAAATGAACTACTACTTTTGGAAAGGAATTGCAAGTTTGCCTTATTTACGAAGTAAGCCAAGGAGAAGAGAGTTCTCCCTTCCCATTAGTTTGCAATGTGTTCAGCGCTCTGATACATCTTCTGTCATATTAATAGTCCCTTTTTTGGGGGGTGTTTATACTGGTGTGTTCGACATGTAGGGTCACTTCACATGTGAAGCAAAACGGACGTACGACGACAAAGGAGGGAGCGTCTAGAAACGGCGATTTGCTGCTCCATGAACGCGCATATGAGTGACTCATTCATGTGCGCTAAACATTTAATAAAATAAAAACGATAAAATTGCAGGCTCGAAATTTTAAGAAGGCTGGAACAGTTCGATGAACTTTTCCACCTACTTGAATTGTTAAAGCTAGTGGACAGCATCCGGGTGGAGTACTACAAGGACTTGGAGACGGAGCTGCGGATACAGTAATTTCTCTTTTCCACATGCCTGTGTTTATTCCCTCCCTGTTGTGTGTCCTTACGACGGTGTCGTCTTGTACTTTCCCTCATGTTAACGTCCCACCTTATGCAGGAAAAAAATACATGAATACTACGAGGATTCCGAAATGGGTTAAGCTCTTTTACGAAAAAAAAAAAAACAAAAAAACAAAAACCGTTTTACTGCGTGCACATTTTTGAAATATAAATAAGGTGAAGTAGAAACTCTCGTTCTTGTCTTCCGCTTTTTTATAGGCGACAAGGGGGCTCTGGATCTGAGTGGACTAAACATTGACAGCATAACTTACCCTTTCATGATTGAAGCCTTTTTTATACCCAGTATTAATTTGTCCAGCAATCTCATATCAGAGTCGTATGAACAAAAAGAGAAGAAGAGGGCCGAAGGAGCTGGGGTGGCTATGGCCTTCCTCGCATTGGCTCCATATACAGTGTGTACATGAATATGTATGCAAGTGTGTATGTATGCATGTATATAGGAGCGCTCACTCATGCGAGCTTTACGTCTTGCCCACGGTAGGTACAACGGCAAGTGTACAATAAACTTTTTGTACAACCTGAAGGAGCTGAATTTGAATCATAACAAAATAAAAAGTCTCGTAGTTTTAATGAAGAATTTGTACAACCTGAAATTACTGGAGAAGTGAGTATCTCGAAAGCGTAGAAAAGGAAGCATGCCCCAGTTTGCTGCAGTGCTTTTTTCCTTTCTAAAAGTGTATATGTGTATATATGTATACATTTTTTTCCCGCTTTACACGCCCAATTTGTTGTTTAAAAAAAATCGACGCAGGCTTGATGTGAGCAGCAACGCACTGGCAAATTTGGACGAAGACCTGGACAACTACTCCTTTGTATTGTTGCCCAATTTGAAGTAAGCCAGATGGAGCATTACGAAAGCGACATTTCCTTCACTTATTGCGCATCGAGATGTAATTTATTGGTGCATTCGCCTACAGGCGTGAGAGGAAATACCCCCTCACTTCCTCTAGACTGTTCTGTGCAATAACGGTGCACACCCAGGGACGCCACCCTACTCGTGTGCGTATATATGCATATAATATGCTCATACAAACTGATGTGTTTTTTTCCTTCATCCCCGCCCCAAGACAAATTAACATTAGCGACAGCAACCTTTCCGCGCTGCTGAACCAGAGGTACAAGCATAAAAGCGTGCTCAACACCTATAACGTGATGCAGGACGGTTGGCGGGTAATTTTATCCAAAGGGTAAGACGGCGTGGCTGCGCCAGACGTATTAGGAAGAGTGGAAACCACCAATAAAATGCTGCCCTGGTATTGAAAATAAACACACGAAGAAATAGAAACCAGATTGGCCCTTTATTTAACGCGATATTTTTGTTTATCCCCGAATGTTTTTCCTGTTGGAGTGATGAACAGGGGCAGTCTCGCTCATTGAGGGCAACTCTAACACAAACAAATAAGGCACGAGGTAAATACTTATGAAGGCACAGAACAGTGCAGTCGTATGAATACATGTAGGACCTTCCAAGGTCACCCACCTGTCTGGCATGCCAGAATGCAGAAAACGACATGTCTGTGCTACAACATTACTTTTTTAATTTTTAAACAAATGGAAAGAGGAGTTTATCAAAAAAAGGCAAAATGGAAAAGTAAAAAAAATAAAACAAAGTAAAAACAACAAGAAGCTTAAAAAGGTATTAATTCTGATTAAAAAATTGCAAATGTGGAGGATGGTTTAAATGTTTTTTTTTTTTTTTTGCACAATTTATAAAAGCGATTTTGATAAAGTACACATCAACAATGGCATTTTCGAGCCCGTTCAGCGGCTTTCACACACATGTGCTGGAGTAATACAAATGCACACTGCATGCGTACATTTTTTATGTTTTTAATTTTGAGTTCACTCTTACACAAAAAAACAAGAAAAAAAAAAAAAAAAAAGTAGAAATGCAAATGCACGATAAAAAAAATAGTTAATTCACCCTACCGTGGCAAATTACACACAGATAAGGCGGTCTCTTTGCACCAGTTGTGCTTTTCATGTGGCATTGTCTCCTACTCCATGCATCTATGCAAGTTGTTGCTTCTTACGTGTAATACACTCAGTGGAACCTGTTTGTGTAAATATTCCAACTTTAATTTTATGAGTTCCCTATTCTGTTCATTTTTTACAGGAATAATTCTCCTACGCCGTGTTATCACAATCATCCACAGTGGACAATGTAGAGTTTTGATTTTGCAATACATCCAATTTTTCTAAACTATAAACCTTTTCATTGCGATTATTGTTATACATATAAATAAGATTCACCTCGTCGTCCGAAATGAAAAGGTCTTCTATATTCGTGAGTTCACTACTTTGAATAATATTATAAAAATTCTCGTCATTATTGATATGTGAAGATGTAGCAACCCCATTATCATTTTGATCATGTGAAGGGCTATCTGTGCTGGGATCCACATTTTGGACATAACTTAGGGGCACGTCTTCATTAAGTAGAACATTTCTTTTGTTGCACTTCTCGTTTAAAAATGATTTATAAAATGAAGAAAGTAATTTAAAAAGTTTTCCATTTTTTTTGTTATTCATTTGGTTTCCCTTTAGAGGGAAATTGCTATTTAGCTTAAATTTGTACACGCGGTTATTGTGCCTTATTATGAATATGTTCATTTTGGACAAGATACTTTCGTTTAAGCTGCCGCTGTAGGTTTTTTTGCTAATACAGTGCTTGCCCAGTTTTTCCGTCTTGGGCAAGTTACCGATGCCACGTTTTGCCCTGACCTGCTTGCCGCTGCCGTCGTGACTGTACGTGTGGACCACTACCGATGTCGTATCTGTTGCCACGTCTGTGATGCTATTCGGGCCAGAAATGCAGCTTGGTGCTTTCATGCATAATCCTCTGCAATTTCCTGTAGTGCACTTCTCCACGCAGTTGTCCGCGGACTTGTCATTAGAAACATAATCGTGGTCGTCATAGTCGGGGTCATACCCCCCACTACAATTCTTTACTAAATTATATTCCTTTGTCAGGTCTTCGTCTAAGTAGTTCCTTCCCCAAGTGCAGGACTCACCCTTGGAGTCATTTTCTGAATTTTCCAAAAGGCACGTATCCATCTTATATTCGCAGATGGGTTCCTTCGGGTTGGGCTCACCAAAATTGTCATAATTTTTTTTAATATCATTTAAAGGCATGGTAAGAACTACACATTTCTGGTTTTGACAAAAATACAGATTCTCTCTTTTCTCCTTTTCAATTTCGTACTGAAGGAGTTGAAAAATCGATTTTAAATTATCACTACACCTGTAGCTGTTTATAAATTCTTGAATTAAAAAATGAATTCTTTCCAAGTCTTGTATGTACTGCTTATTTAGATAATTATCCGATTTGTCTTTGTAGTTGTTTAGAATGTTCGCAAAATCGAAAGACAAATTGTTGGTAAAGCGAAGTGTCGGTAATTTATTTGTGGCACTGTAGGGTTTGTTCCAATTTTCGTTATTTTTTCCTAGCACTTCATTTAAGATGGCTACGCTCTCCTCCAATTCAGAGTACACATCCTGGCTGTCCATGTGCACACGTTTTTTTTCTGCCTCATTGAGTGCACTGCTCACGTTGATGTTAATCCCCTTATCAACAGATCTACAATTGTTATCGTCGTTCACGTCACCGTTCATGTGGCCGTTCATATCGCCGTTATTATTTTTTCTAATACTGTGAATGGTAGTGTCTTTTTCATGACGTGAGAGTAAACCATCCCCATTTTTTGCAGTTACGCCGTTTGTGTACCGCCCACAGCTGCTTGGGTACATGCTTGGGCAGGAAGCAACCCCTCCCATGTGCATGTACCGTTGGCTACGTTCATCATTATGATTCCCACTGAGATAACACTCGTTTGTGCCTATGCCCCCTGCCATGTTATTCGATCCTTTGCGCTCGCTTGCATTTTGTTCGAAATCGGTTTTACAGGCAAACCAATCTGGCTGCTCCCCGTTAACATTGTTGTGTTGAGTGTTATCGAACAACTTAATCCTACATGGGTCATATTGTTTATTTTGATTTCCCCTGTCTGTAGGGAAATTGACACTCATGGTATCTTTTTCTTCCATTTTGTAAAATTTTTTTCCCCCATCCATGCTCGCACTTTTTATGTGTGAATGCAGGGAGCAGGGATTTTTCTCGATGCTCCTTTGCGCGGCTTCGTCTTCTTTGTGGAGGAAATTTGGATGAGCGTTGTAACTATTTCCATTAGTGTGGGTCTCAGACGGGTAGTAAATGATACCATAGGGGTCTCCCATTCGTTGAGGATGCTCCTGTGTTGCGTTATTTACATACACATGATACATAATTTGCACCGATTTTGCCACTTGTGCAGGAGCTCCCCTACCCAGCACTTGCCCATTGTACATATTATCCCCTCTGTATATGTTGTCCACTACTTGACCTCTCGAGGATAATAAATGGCTCATTCCAGTCTCATGCAATATTTCGTCATTTCTCTCATCGATATTAGAGTGATTCTTACAAAGTGCGTTGTTATAGTTTTGCCCTTGAATGGATTCCCCTGGAAATGTTTGTTCGTCACGCATGTATGCATTTTTACTTTGGTACGTATGCGAATCTTCATGATTATAATTTATATTCACACTTGCATTCGTGTTTAAGCTTACGTTTACTCCTTCATCGTCCTTTTTCCTTCTATGTACAGTTGAGGAAGTACCAGGTTTTCTATTCCATTGATTGCTTACACTGTTTTTTGAAAAACTGCCGGCCTCTTTCTCGTACATGTTGCTACTTCTGTTATGATAATTTTCTGTTGTCTTACTATGGTCTATATATTCTGTCCGTTTAAATGGGTTATGCTCAGTGGGTACTTCTTTCATTTTGTGCTCGTTGTGGGGGTTGTGTCCACTGCGTAAATCCATATTCAACATGGTGCTACTTTGCATGCGTTTTGCGTTAGGAAACATGTCTCCTTTATTGCTATGTGTAAAAAAGTCGTCCAGCTTATCATCATTTTGGTAAAAGAGAAAGGCCTTCTGTTTGATGCTGTCTCCCGGTAACTGTTTTTCCATCCGTTTTTCCTCCATTGGGGGTATGTTTTCAGCAAAACTAGCCACGTCCCCCGTCATGATTAAATTTTTGTAGTCTCCATGTTGGCCATGCGCCCTCTGATGTGTAAGTACATTTCTGCTTATCATATTTGCAGCGTTATCCTTTGCTTTATTTGCCGAGGCGACGTTCTTCACTTGTGAATCCTTATGGTTTGTGTTTACACCTGCCATGTGTTCACATGCCATCATGGGGCACTTGTCTTGGGTGGAATCACCGAAGTTTTCCTCACTTTGGGTCATTAATTGTATGTCTATTCTTTTGTTTAGGGAGACTACACTAGCAGGTTTGTCAATGCTATCCATGGTATATTTCGAAGAGTGCGTTTTATAGTTTGAGATGGAAATGTCTGCATATTTCATGCGTGGGTCATTGATGTGGGCACCGTTTATATTTGTATATGTGGTGCACATGTTTTCTGCCCTCATTGTGACATCGTTCGCGTTGTTGCAGAAATGCTCATTGTCGTGAAGCACATTTGCGCATATGTGTTCATCCTCATCAGGGCTACCTCCGTTTTTTACTGACCTGTGTTTGTTATGCTGAGCACTTTGATTGCCATTTTGGTTATAAATCAATGTGCTATTTTCATTCGTGGGGTTGTTACTACAACCCGTGTATGGATACCTCCTATTCCTGTTTCTCTTTTCCTTTAAATTGTCAGAATCGGTGTTGTCCTCTCCTGTTGAGAGATCCTGTCGTTTGTCCTTTTTACATTTGGCTAAATTACTCTGGCTTTTTTTGGGGGGCGCTCTACTGCTTGTAAAGTGACTATCCCTTTCGACTCTACTTACTTCGCGATTTTGTTTTCCAACGTCGGAGTCTGCTTCAGCGTCTGAATTCGAATCGCGGATCTCCGTTACGCTACAAAAGGTGTCCCTTTCGCGCCTACACCTTTGGTTCTCTTCTTGGTCACAACAAAAATTTAATTCATTTTTTCCTCTATTAGGAAAATGACTGTTTTGGTTCTTTCCTGTTTTCCATTTTACATTTTGGTTTTCTCCATCATCCATGTCATCACTGCTACTGCTTATATTACTCATGCCGCTGTGCAGGTTGCTACTTCGGCTTTGGCTATTATAAATATTGCATGTGTTCGTGTCCCTGTTACTCCTTATGCTAGCAGCGTTACTGTGTTGGGGGGTTATATGCGTGTTCTTCATATTGTTCTCTTTCAAGCGAGTAGACTTTCTGCGAACAGCATTATTATCATATCCGTCCTCGTCCTTCTCGTAGTTTTTATTGCTGGAAGTGTTGAAGCTACTGCTACTTTGGTTGGCGCCCTTTTTTAGGGTACATTTCTTACTAGTGTTCTCTGTTCCTTGATGCATCTTTTTACAATCCGCAACAAAATGTGTCTTGCTGACTGCTACATTTTCTCTCATAGAACAGACACGCTCCTCATAATCCGAAATAATGCAACACGATTTCTTCTTCATTTTGCACTTGACGAACACCTTTATGTCATCACCATGTGCAATATCTTCATCTTGTGCTATTGTTTGTTTGATGTTAAACGGTTCCTCTGTCTTCTTTTTTTTTTCGTTTTTCTTTAAAACACACTTTTTGTTACACTCCAGTGCAATTTGAGATTTTTCCAAATTGTTCACGTTCCCATTTTTATCTCTTACCCTGCCATTGCATTTGCCGTGCCTATCACAACCGTTACTATTATTATTGTAACCGTCAACTTCGTTACTACCTTTGTGGACTTCGCGAGGGTTGCTACTCATGTTGTACCTAAACGGGTTCATAGAATGAGAGAGTTCGTTCGAGAAGAGATGGTCATATGCGTCGTCACACCCATTTACCCTATCACTGTCACCATAACGTTTGTTCCCTTTATCGGCACTTAATCCTTTTAAAGCGTTATCATGTTGGCTTGGATATTTTTTACTTGCTACTTCAACGCCGTTGCTAGGATATGAATGTTTAACATTAGGTGAGTTGCTTCGTATGTGAGTGTGTCTCACATAACTGTCTTCACCTTTGAGGCTATTTTTATAGTCATTGTTACATCCATCTTCATCACGGATGCTTGCTCCATCCCTGATACTACCACTTTCGGTGTACCGATCAATCTCATAATTTTTTTTGTTTTTTTTTTTTTTTTTCTTCTTGACATACTCTGTGTGTGCGTTTCTGCATTCGTGTTTGCAGTTATTTTGTTGCAGAGACGTTTTTGCTTGGTCATAATTGTGTGAGTGTCCGAAGATTCTCGCATCGGTTCCAACCCCTTTACTATTCTTATTAGCATTGTTGAAGTTAGAGTGGTCGTTGAAAATGTGTCGACAAGTATCCTTTCGGTGCATACAATTCTCGTCAATTCCATCGATAAAATTGTACTGCTTCGCGTCCCCATAAATGGAACATACGTCATCAACTATGGAGTTACTTCTACACCGATGGAACTGTTCATTTTCTTGTTTTTCCTTCATGTCCATTTTTCGTTTTTCATTATACTTTTTTGGGCTCTTGTTTTTTATTCCTTTCGTAAGTGTAATTTTGGAGTTGCAGCTGTTTTGGTGTCCCCTATTTTTGGGTTCCACAAAGGATTGCATGGGGCTATGCATGGACGAATCGGAATATGAAGAAATATATATACTTGATAACTCTTCGTTGGTTTTTATTTTTTCATTTTTTCTGTTGTCATCGTGTATGAAATAAGTATTGTTTCCATTCATTTGCGCGTTAAAAGGAAATTCCCTATCAGTTTCAATCCCTTTTTTGAAGTACTGATGATCCTTGTCTTGCTTGGTCCTCTTAACGTCCATATTGCGTTCTCTGTCAAGTGAGTCTTTTTTAGTGCTTTTCCTCGAATAATGTTTAAAATTACCGCTGTGTACTTCCGATCCATTTTTGTATATGTTTTGTACGCCCTTTTTCCCTATACTATAGTTATCACTTCTATGTGATGCCGTGTCCCTTGAGATTGGGCTTTTCTTTTTGTCATTATCACCCTGGTGGGGAAGTTCGTTACCACAGTCATGGTTATGAACGTATTGTCTATAAATCGGATTGTAATTTGATTCTACAGTTTTACGACTTCGGTTACTCTTGCTACTTCCACCGTTTACGTTGCATTTTTTGTTACCCTTACTACCATTGCTAGCGCTTTTATTACTACCCATTTTACTACTACCGATTTTTTTATTACTGCCGCTGTTATTGCTAGAGCTTTTATTGCTGCCACCCTTTCCCTTGCCGTTGGGAAGCGGAGTTCCATTAGCTGCTTGTTGCCTTTTGACATAATGATACACACTGAAGGGATTGTTTTGCTGCTTTCTTTCGGCATCGGTTTTATTACTACATTCATCTGAACAGCTGTCCTTTTTATTTAAAAACTCATTCACTGCAGTTCCGTACAAATTAGTAACATGACCATTGTTATCCCTCTCTAAATGTTTCAAAGTTTCAAATGAGCTAATATTAGACTTATTTGCTAACTCCATCTTGGATGGTCTATGCTCGCTTTCCTCTATATACTTCTGATCGATTAAAATGCGATGGGGTGTTGCTACTCTATTTTTTGCTTCCTCGTCGGTGTACGCGCATCCTTTGAACATAGCGGGGTTATTACACGTGTCTTTACTTTCTATATTTCTCATGTTACCGTTGAATCTGTAATTGCTGTGGCTTCTCTCCGTGTTGCTATGACTACTTGTGTTGGCGCTGCGTGCCTTATGGCCATTTCCGGCGTGACCATCCACAGGGATTCCCCCTGCTTTACTGGTCACGCCGCTGTTATGAAGCTCCTTGCCGATGGCCTTATTTTCTGCAGCCTCATTTCGAATACCCTTGCTATCATAGGTGTATTTGTTCATCCTCTGATTTTTCAAAAAATTTAAAATGCCTGTATTTGTATTGTTACTTTTTTTAATATTAAGATTGTTAAATATGTCGTAGATTTTAATTCGGTTATTTGTGTTTTCACTTTCATTGTTCTGTAGTCTACTTGTAAAGTGCATGTCGTCTTGTTTTGCTTGCTCATCCATTTCTTGAAGAATTCTATTTTGTGCATCTTCATCATTGTATACAGATAACGAATTCAGCTGATTATCCCCTATTTCCATCTCGTCTTTTCCGATTTTGTCGTAGTCACAGCTATCGTGTATTAAATTTTCATTCAGCGAGCTTTCATGTGCAAAAGGGAATGACTCTCTTTTTTCCCCATCATAATTACCATTCTTGTTTCGCTGGCTGCGGTTATTACGTCCATTGCTGTGTCGTTTATTATTCCCTGTGCTGCACCCGTTGTACTGACCAGTTCTACCTGCATTATGTTGGGCGTCACTGTTAGCATTGCCATTGTAGTGGTGTGCAGAGGTGTGATCGTTACGATAATTAAAATAACTATTGTAGTTGTAATCCGCATAATCATTATTGTTCTGTGTATTGTCGTTTTGGTTTATCAAAATGATACTACTAACATCGGAAAGGCTATCGTAATTTTGCTTGGAAATGATAGCATCACAATTGCTGTTTATATTTTCTATACCCTTATTGGTCGTTTTGATTAAATTATTATAGTGATTACTTACCGTGTGGACAATTTCGTCCTTATTTTTGTTGCCGTCATTTTTGTTTTTTTCATAATTTTTAGTCAAGTAACTGTTTTTAATGAACTCGTTAGACAAAATCATGTTTCTGTGTTCACTAAGACTAATTAGATGATTTCCTTCAGCCCTTTCTTGTGAACTTGCATACTTATTATTACGTATGTAGTCTGGATCCACATGATAACTGTAGTTATTCAAATGTTCCTCTAACATTTTACTATGCAGGTTACTAGTTTTTCTGCTATCTTCATCCATTAAATTATCACAAGAGTAGATATAATTCTTGTTGAGGTTTCCATTTTGTGCATCGAAATGGTCTAAGTAATTTTTTCCCGCATTCTGCATCATATGCTCTGTATCATGTTTGTCGTAATAGCTTTTAGCTATCCTGCCGCTGCTTCTTTCCTTTGCGTTTAAATTGCTGAGTGAATCTTTTTTGGTTATAAGTTCATTGTTCCGGCTATCTACATTCACGCCTCTGTACATTTTCCTTTACCTAATGGTGTAATCACAGCGTAAATGTAACCATAGCGCAAAACGTGAAAATTGAAACAATCGGGGATACGGAAGCGGTAAAACCAAACGGAACAGACACTGTGCTTTTCGTAGCTACTGTGATGTGTTACGTAGGGTTAATGTGTTGGCATGCATTTGTTCATATGGCATAAATGCACATAAAACTCTGCATAGCATTAAAACAAAAAAAAAAAAAAAAAAAAAAAAAAA